CATGTGCCTTGTTTCCATCACAATACTCTTTGTCTTAGAGATGTTAAGGACAAGTTTGTTATGTACTATCCAGTCATGCACAACTTTTAGTTCCCTGCTCAAGACTTTGTTAAGAGCAGGGCATGATGGTGCAGCATGATACAAGGTGGAATCATCAGCATAAAGAACTATTTTAGCATGCTTGGTAACCCATGATAGATCATTTGTAAACACTGAGAAAAGCAAAGGGCCCAAGCAACTGCCTTGTGGAACGCCACATTCCAAATTTCTGCTGCTTGATAAACTGCCATTAAGATACACCTTCTGTGAAGACAGATAACTCTGCATCCATTTCAAAGCAGAGGGGTAGAAACTATAGCATTCAAGTTTCTCAATCAAAAGTGAATGGTCAAGCACATCGAATGCAGCACTGAAATCTAATAACACAGCTCCCACCAGCATAGAGTTATCTATTGCTCTAAGCCAGTCATCAGTCATCTGTATTAGAGCAGTAGAAGTGGAATGGGTGGCTCTATATGCATGTTGAGAGTGTGTGACTAGTTTATTTGTTTAAAAAAAATAAGCTTGAATTTGTGCATACACTACCTTTTCCATAATTTTGCTCAAAACAGGTAAAATGGAAACAGGTCTAGAATTTCCCTCATTAAAAAAAGACTTTGTGTCTTTAGGTAAAGGAATAATCTTAGCCTGTTTCCACATCTCTGGATATAAACCCACCTGTAAACATCTATTAAGAATGTGACAAACAGGAAATGAAATTATACCAGCAGTCATTCTCAATAATTTACTATACTGTAAACTATACTTTACTTTACTGTATACCTGCTAACTTGTTATCAGGAAGAGAGCGGAGTAACCTCCCAACTTCACTGACATCAACCTGGTGAAATTCAAATACACAGCGTTTGTCTTTCATTATAATATTCTTAATAAGATCATTTGATGTTGTGTTCCTGGAAATATGTATTCCCTGCCGTAGTTGAGATACTTTGTTAACATAAAAGTCATTAAAATGATCAGCAATATCACATGATTTAGTGAGTACAAATCCATTTGATTCAACTAAAGGTGTACAGCCATTGCTCTTTCGACCCATGATATCATTTTTAAGACATTCCATAATTTTTTACCATCATATCTAGCATCATATAACTTTTGTTTATAATAATCCTTTTTCCTAACTTTATTTAACTTAGTAACCTGATTGCGCAATGAGCAATATTTATGTCGGTCATCAATTAAACCAGAGCTAAGTGAAACTTTTTTGGCAGTGTCTCTCTCAGTCATTAACTTCATTAAACCATTATCAATCCATGGGGCAGACTTATTTTTTACTGTAAACTTTTTTAAAGGAGCATGCTTGTCAACAACACTCATGTACTTCAGCATAAGTAAGTCTAGTGCTACCACTGGGTCATCCTCACTACACACCTCGCTCCAATCAATACTAGATAATTCATCAGTAAAACATTCTTCACTAAATCGCTTATAGGACCGCTTAAAATTATTTTGGGTTTAGGTTTAAGAACCTTTGTCTTCCTGGTCACAGCTATTATATTGTGATCGCTGAAACCTACAGGAACAGAGATGGCATTGGAGCATAGGTCAGGAACATTTGTATATAAATGGTCAATGCATGTAGCTGAGATAATACCATCACTGCCTACACCCATTCTAGTGGGAGAAGCAACAATTTGAGACAGATTACAAGCATTCAAAATAGAGAGCAACTTATTCTTATTAGTGCATGACTGACCCCAATCTACATTCATATCACCTAGTAAGAAAATTTCTCCATTTAAGTCTGATATCCTATTGAACATCCCACACAACCCATTCATATACTAGGAGGCCTGTAGAAACAACATACAAGAATAGGTTTCAAATGAGGCAAGTAAACTTGCACACAATTAGCTTCAATACCCTCTTTCATCAGATCATGGCGTATTTTGACAGGTAGATGATTTTGAACATAAATAGCTACTCCACCTCCAAACCTGTTTCTGTCTTTCCTGAAAATTGTAAAACCATTGATAGATACAGCAGAATCAGTAATGGAATCATCAAGGTGGGTCTCAGAGATTGCAAGAATGTTGATACAATTACCTCTGACAATACACTCCACTTCCTGGAGCTTATTATGCAAGCTGAGCTAACACCAGGCCCTTATGAAGGCCCAGCTTAATGCAGGGTAAGTCAGTCATGAAAGTGCTCCCATCATAGTGGGTCTATGTTAGAAAGCATTATTATTATTCATTCAGTGATCATTATGAATGTGCTTTCCACAGCAATCTAATTTGCTCCCTTTCACTCAAAGATGGGGGTCCTCCAGTCTTGTCAGAGTGGTAACCCCATCCCTCAGATTTCCCCTGGTTCCCTGGATCCTGGCTCTCTTCACCTGCTCCCTCTTCCTTTGGCCGGCTGCTGGCCGTACCTGGTACAGCACCTGGCTCAGTTGGATGAGGGGTATCTTCCTGATTGTCTGTTTTGCCCACCTTCTTTGCAGGTGAATTAGTCCCAGACTCTGAACTGTGTGACCCCCCATCTCTGGGCCTCTTTCCCTGTAGAGCCACAATCGGTTGGAAGTAGGATTGAATTGAAGATGCATCTACTTCTGTTGTACTTCTCAGCGAGCTGGATCTGGATCTGGTCTTCTTGGGATTCTCATCTGCAGTTTTCTCCTGATCTTTTTCTTTCTCTTAGGTTTCTTGATTGGATCTTTCTTTCTTTCTTTCTTTCCATGGTGTGAAACTGCTACTACATGTATCTGACAAACTTTGGCATTTTTATAGATTGAGTAGCATTTTCAATTCAGTCCTTTCATTTGAAATAGACTGAAAAGGAATATGAATGCTTCCTAAACAACTGCCTATAGTTTTACCACCATTGTAGCAGCTACAGAATTATAATGCTGTTTATATTGTACATTTACACATCAGTAATTTATCTCTGACAGGAACCATTCTTTCCTTAGGCCATGTTAAATTTTACAAGGAGGAATATTTCTTGTGTGGACTTATGTATGATCATAATAGTGAATATCACCACTAATTGTGCTAATATGGTGGGAAAATCTGCTGATAATTGTTAAACAGATGTTTTTTTATGAATCACCTGACACATGATAAAGATATAACTAAACACTTTTCTGTTTAAAAGTACAAATAATTCATTGATAATATATAAATGAAAATGAAGTATAAAAAGAATGACCTTTCTGTTCTGTGACAAACTGTTACAGACCTGTTCTCCCCAAACAGAAAACAAAACTGTAGGCTACTAGTACAGAAAAAGAGAAAGTATGTAAGGCACTTTCTATAGGCTAGAGAGCAGGGAGACAAATATGACCTGCGGGCCAAAACCGGCCCTCCAAAGGGTCATGGCCCACTGGATAACTTTACACACCTAACTATACGTTCACACCAAAAGCTGCCAGAGCTGCAAAATAGCTGAATTCACTCTAGCAGCGCAGCTGGTAAAATATTTTGCCGCAAAGCAGGTTACTGGCTGGAGCACAGAAATGTGACTTCATACATTTGCCTGAGTATAGAAACTTTCATGTTTGGACAATGAAACAGAATAAAAAGTCTAAATAGGTCTGACATTAAACATTAAACACACACAGCCTGTGTTGCGTTCAGGCGTTGTCATGTAAATAACAAACTCCAGCACTTGAAAAGGCCGTAGCACAACACAGCAGCATGTCAAGTGGGCCGAACCCGAACCGAATATGAGCATAACTTTTTGATTTGTTATTCCCCCCCAAAGCTGTAAACCTAGGGGGAACACTGTCAGTGGTTTGGGTTAGAGTGCCTACAGTGTGATTAGTTAAACTGGTGGTAAGGAGAGCAAATGAATTGCATTCCCGTTAATAACAAGTGTTCCAGAACAAAAAGAAGTTGTATAAGTATGTGCGCTTGTCCAAACTTGTGTATCGATTCAACATGGAAGAAGACACTCTTGTAAGTATACCTATCCCCTGTTTTGTCTGCTACCTATTGTGGTCATAATTAAAGATACTGAACAAATATTGTCAATCAGCAGTGTCAGTACAAAGAATCTATTGCTAAGGCACTGCCTAAACTTTAGATCTGTAAATGGTTTGTATAGGTAGGGGATAACTTAATTTGCTTCCTCTATAGCTTCCTTTTTAGTTTGTTGTGGTGATGCTAGTATTACTACACACACAGGAGTGGATATGGATGGGAAAATGAACCTGTGACTGTGAGGAGTAGACTTTTGGACTTTTTTAGACTGTTGGGGCGACTGTGGCTCAGAGGTAGAGCGGGTTGTCCACCAATCGGAAGATCAGCGGCTCGATCCCTAGCTCCTCCAGTCTGCATGTTGAAGTATGCTTGAGCAAGATACTGAACCCCAAATTGCTCCCGATGATGCTTCCATCATAGTGTGAGTGTGTTAAAAACGGAGTAGCAGGTGGCACCCTAATGGTAGCCTCAGCCACCAGTGTATGAATGTGTGTGTGTAAATGGGTGAATGTGACTCGTAGTGTAAAACGCGCTTTGAGTGGTCGGATGACTAGAAAGGCATGACACAAATGCAGGTCCACTTACCATTTACCATTAGACTGACTGAATGTGGAAAAACTGTGACATTTTGTTTAAATTGCACAGATATTTCTTAAGACATCGCAGGCTTTTTTAAAGGGATTGTTTCGGAATTGTGAGTTTTTGTTTTCAGTATGTAGGCTACTTGTACTACTTTACATCAAAAGAAATGGAAACATTTGGAGGTGTTGTTATTTATAGGTTATTATAGAATGGTTTTACTCATGTGGTCCACTTGAGGTCAAACTGGTTTGTATATGGCCTTAGGACTGAAATGAGTTCGACACACTTGGGCCAGAGTGGATCCGGTCTGCTCTTGCTTCAGCTCATTCACCTTCACAGCTTTTGATATGCATCTTGGCCACGTGAGTTGTATTTACGCCCAGATTTGAGCCAATGACAAGGCAGCGTGAGTCACGGGGGCTGGAGCTTAGGCAACAGATCATTTCATCCCGCTCCTTCCGGACTCCTCTCAGATTATTTCCCATCCCTCCCTCAGAGACCATGGCTGGATTCTCTGTGAGCGACAGCACAGCGGAGCGTATCGGCTACATCACCCGGACCCAAAGCTTCAGCGCCTGTCACCGACTCCACAGGTATATCGTTCGCTTTTTATTAGGAGACACGCCGTTAGAGATTGATACACAACCTCTATTTTCTAAACCCTCCTGCAATAGTTATATTGGCTTATGCCAGTGGAATAGCACTGACCAAGTTGCAGGCTTGTACATATAATAATGTGAGGAACCAGTTTTTACATGCGTTGCATAAACGGAGAGACTCGGCAGACTCCCACACTGGCGAGCGGTGGGCCGGTGAAAGTGTTCCCAGTAGGAAAATGTTTCCCTCTGTTAATGCGTAGCGCCGCCGTCGGTGGTTGGGGTCGGGGGTAAGAGCTCTGATAAAAGGTTTAGGTAGGGGAAACATTTCGACGGAGACACAGATACAACCCCGGTAAGGTAAAGTAAATGTATGCGATAACGCAGCCACATATAACCGTATAAAAGCCATATGTGTACTACTAAAGGCTATATTTGCTGGGATTGGCCAAGTGTTGGTGCTGCCTTCATGTGCTGTCGGCGATGCAGAAAATAATGTGGTATCAATGAATGGCCATTCAGGCAGAGGTAACAATAGTAGGCAGGTGAGGTTCTAGCACATTTGGTCAAATTCAATAATACAAATTTATTAAACAATTTTAACGTAGCTTTCTTTATACATGAAAAACATCTTTAAAAACTAAGCAAAAATCCTTTTTACTATCTAGCCTATGATACAACATAATTCCCTCTCTAATATCTATTTTATAGTACTGTGAAAACATCAACAAATTGCTCCTTCAAACTGCTGGATTTATTCAAGTTTCTCACCAATAGCCACATTTTCAAAGATTACATTAAACACATCATGAAAACCTCATAATTTACACAGTAAAAGTACCAGTGCTAGCCCATGTTACTGTAGTACTATATTTACTGAACAGAGCTTGAACGCTTCACAATGTAAATCGGCCACCGGCTGCTCAGAGGTAATGATAGCTAACTCTTCTCCTGCCACTTTTCTTTGTCTCCACATCCACTCCTTTGAGTAGTGTAGTGGCAGTTGGGTGGGCATCAGAGAACTTTTGTCGTTTTGACATGATAATGATATAGTGTGTTTCGGGGCTCACGTGAAGTCAGACGTGGTAATGCTGCAAGCAGCTTTCTCTAGAACGCTCATCCAAACAACTTCACACTCTGTGCCTCTTTGGGTCCTGAGCAACACATATGGACCCAAACAGCTGTAGAATCATTATGATGTTATAGATAGGAAAAATTAAATTAAGGTGCTATTTTTACTCAGTATAACCCAAAATAACGTATAAAAGGGCAATGCACTTAAACAATCTGTAACTCAATGGTGTACTGCTTACTTTCTGTGTAGGCTACTTCTACTTGTACTTCAGAGGAAAACATTATACTATTATATTTACCTGACAGGGACATCCTAATGGTAAGACTGCAGATTCAGATTTTACTCACAAAATATTACAATTACAACATGATGTTTATTTTTTTTAAATTAATCAGCAATATATTAGAACTGAAAATTCCACCTTAAAACAGACATTAAGTAAATTTATATACACTGTGCCATCATTTCCTGTAATTATTCTCCTGCCCCCTGCTTCATCCATCCCTAAACACATGCAGTCAGTTTTTATAAACACCCGTATGGTGTAGAAAGAAATTAGAAACACTTGACATCATATATAGCAAATGGTATATTTAAGCGGTGTTTAAGTCCACAGAATAATTTCATAGTTAATAAAACTGTTAAAGTCCTAACTAAAAAAATTAGACCAAAATAAGGACTTAATTCATCAAGAGCAGTTTGTCTGTTATTAAATTTTAAACCATAAGGCACAGAGTGAAATTAATATTTGGTGACACTACAGTGTATAAGACTGATTTTTATTGAACATTTCTCTTTTCATAGTTGCACTTTGTAGATGGTCCCATGTCACTTGTCTCACAGCTGGCAGCACACGTACAATAGAGAAACGTCATCTGTCCAGTTCGGAGGAAAGATCGTTTTGAATGGAAGTTTTTATTTAACTTTTTTTTATTTCTTTACACAAGAAAATCTGCAAAGGTGTACCATGATACACAAACATTTTACTATCCACAAACATGTCTTTTTATATTTGTGTTGTGTAAATTCATATCCACAAAAATACAGATTGATGTGCAAATATTCATAACTTTCTAAACACAAACTTTAATTTCAGAAATGCGGTTTGAAGAGACCAGAGCTTGGTCCAGTGATGTAAACAGCTGGGCGTAGAGAGATTAGGCCAAGGTGCTGATGAGAGGATGGAAAGAAAGAAAGGGATTCAAGAGTCAGTCATACCTCAGAGAAATCCACAAGTCAGATCATTCCCATAATCATGTAGCAGAAACACACCGGTGACATCATGGTTTACAAATAAAATCTGGAAATTAACATTACTAGGATAATGATCATTTTACAGCTGTCAGACCAACTGTCCGTCTGATTCCATCATGAAACCAAAACATTTTACTGATCACCTGAAAGAGGTTAATGTAGGCTGCTTCACTGAGTGGTAATTCCATTTGTGGTGTAAATTACTAATTATTGTGAACTCCATAAATACATACACACATCACACCAAGCCATGCCTGATACAGTGCTACGACCTTACCAAAACAGAGTTACTGTCAGCTAACACTTCAGTTTGATGCCATAAGCATATTCATTAAACTATACAGTATAGCAACAAAGTAGTGGTGGTGGAAAGTAACAAAGTACATTCACTCTCAAGTGCTGTACCTAAGTACATTTTTGATATATTTTTACTTTACTTGAGGATTTCCATATTCTGCTATTTTATTCCTCTACTCCATTACATCTCAGGCGGAAATATTTTACTTCTCATTGCCCTACATTTATTTGATGCATGTAAATACTAGTTCAACTGTAGATTTAGGCTAATAATAAGAAAATAAAATGAACTAATAAATTATGATTGATAAACATAAGACTTGACTGTGACCTGCAGAAAAGCCCCACATTTACCAGCTTCAACATTAAAGAGATAAACACATTAATGCATCAGTCACTGTATTGGATCTGAAATGGACCATTGTGCATAATGAGTACTTTTACCTTTTGTTTTTCTTGTATTTTTTTATCTGAGTAAAAGATCTGAGTACTTCTGCCGGCACTGCAACCGTGTGTCAAATTAGTCCATTAGCTTGAAACATTAGCTTGAAACATCATAGGTATTACCATAATGCCCTACTGAAAATCAGCATCGCGATTGCAATAATATTATTCCTACAAATGATCCAGTTTTTTTTACATGCTTAACATAAAACAAAATATGTGTTCATACTTACAGGCATAAATTCCCCATGCTCTGTGGAAACAAGCTCATAGCGGCTGACTTCTGTCCTTGTCGTTTCCAGTTGTTCAACGTTACACTCTTGTTTTAGCCTCGTTGGTACAGACTGAAGTTCCATCAGCTCATGCAAGAGAATGTTGCCACCTGCTGTTGTGGCACAAAGTCACAAAGTCACAAATGTCATATGGCCCATAAACTGACAGAAAGTAAAAGCAAAACTAGTTTCACATGTAAAATGGATCCACAAATGCGTAAATATGACTTCCCGTGTATTTGCTTTGGTAAAACTGTTTAGATTTGTAAAACCTGTAACATTTTTATTTGAAATTAAAATGTGTGTTTACAGATTAAGTTATGTGTATTTGCAAATCATGCTGTTTTTTTGTGAATATGGCTTTACACACACAAAAATAAAAAGACATGTTTGTTGATAGTGAAATATTTGTGGATCATATTACACATTTTTAAATTTTCTTGTGTGGGTTTGGGTTACAAATGATAAAGTCCAATAAAACTTCCATAGAAATGTAGCTTGTTGTCTTGGTTAGAAAGAAGCATTGTTTGTGTTTTATCAATGTTTTCTTATAAGTAATTGATCCAGGAAGTTTGACCCCATTAATATCTTTCCACCTTTACTGAACTGCTTTAGGCAGGCAGCTGTTGTCCCCTCTTCCTGGTACTGCACACTGGCACTGAATCTTTTAGTAGTAAGGAGCAGTGGACTGTACCAGCCTCCTGTAATTCCTGGTTGGCGAGACATTTGCTGGACCCAGTCTTCTCTCTGCGGAGCCCTGAAGCCCAGTCCCCACCTCTATGCAGAGACGCAGAGCGCTGTTTGCTTGTTTATTCAAAATTCATTTATATTTAATATGGTATGTACCCAAATTGCACCATGTTTGAAATGGCACAATTATGGGTCCCTAGCAATACAAAAAAGAAGAAAAGCACATGCACATCTCATTGATAGGTGCTGAGTCCGTAAAATAGAAGTAGGCAGGTAGAAGACTCGCAACACTGCAGCTCCTGGTAGAAGAATTATTTTATTAAGTGATTACATAATAACTAAAGATTACACAATAGATAAAGACAACGTTTCAAGCCCAAACGGGCTCTTCATCAGTTCAGTGATTAGACAAATGTGTGCAGGTTCGGGATGTAACGATATGGAAAATTTGATATCTCGATGATAGTGACGAAATTATCACGGTAATGATAATATTGAGATATTTTTTAAGTGCTGTAAAATGTCCAAAAAGTAGATACATTGAAATAACTTAACTTCCTTATCATACTAAAATGTTAACAGCCAAAATCTTATATTAAAATGAAACGTTCACATTAAAGGGGCAAGGTATTGGCACAGCAACAGAAAAATCAATTTTAAATTAACAAAATATGTAAACACATTACAGGAACAAAGCTTATTTGTCTGGTGCATTTTAACAGTCAGCAAAATATGTAAACAATTTATATATTAATGATTTATTTATTAGCACAAGAGAAAAAATATATATAAAACAAAACAATGCAAGAGTAGAACAAAAAACATACAATATATAGAATAGATATCACAAATGTGCAGGAGAAACCAAAAAACCCTAAGGGCAATGGTCATCATTACACAGAATAATTCACACATTAGAAGTGTGCATGTGAGTGAGAGGAGTGCTTGTATGAGAAAAGGAGTGC